TTTGCTTTTAGTACCAGGGATTGAACTCAGCCTTGCGCTTGTAAGGCAGGCACAGTGCCATTAAGCTAAATCCTTGACCTGAGTTTGTGTTCTCTTGTCAGTGTGAAAGGGAAGGGATTTTACCACTTGTATGGTTATTATAGTAATTTTCCCTGCTTAAATGCTCCCTCTATTCCCCCTACTGGGGATTGAACCCATGGGCACTCTACCACAGAACTGTATTCTCAGCCCTTGGTAGTTTTATTTTTGTTGCTTTTTGGTTCTGGGGATTGACCCCAGGACTTTCACACTGAACTACATCCCCAGCCCTTTTTAAAATTTTTTTGAGACAAGGTCTGAGTTGGTAAATTGCACAGCCTAGGCTTGAATTTTTGATCCTCCTGCTTCATCTTCTCAGTATGTTGGAATTATAGGTATACACAGCCATGCCTTGCTTAGTTTTTATTTTGAGACATAGTCTTTCTTTTTTTTGTTTTTTAAAAAAAGTTTATCTGTTACAAAATGTTAAATACTAAAGCTAAAAATGTATAAATTCAGGTCAGGCTCTATTAAAATTACACACTTGCCCTTTGCAAAATCATTAAAGGTTGAATTAAACAGGTGCTTTAAATAAAATAAAGTACTCTTTGAGGGTATTTATGTCCAGTTAGCTACAGCAGCGTAGTGTACTTTGTAAAATTATAGTTGGAAAGTTTAGCTACTGTGGAAATAAAATCTACCTAATTTCTCACTACCCATTGTGAATACACCTTGCTGGTGTGGAAGGGGTGAACTTCAGTTACACCACCACAAGTTCTCTATTGCAAATCTAGGCTTCTATAATAGGAACATAGGGTAGCTATAAGGATACAAAGGGTTATACAGCATGAAAACTTGGCCCAGAAAGAAAAAGCCTTAGTTCACGTATATACTATTTCTCTAATTAAAACGACTAGGAAAGATATTAAAGCAGAGATCAGCAAAAAGCATACATCCATCTAGAAATAATTGTACAACTGAAAAAAACTCCTGGAAACTGGCACTCATTTCTCCAAGATAGTTTACTAAGTCTTTCAATTATTTTCTATTTTAAACTGAGTGAATTCAAACAGTCAGTCTACATTCAATGAGTTCTAAGACTAATTCGATTATATTTTAATTAAAGTGTGGTATCCAGCTGAGTCACCCACACAGGTGGTTAAGAGCTTTCAAAATAAAACCTACACAGCAACATCCAGGAGTACCAGCTTCCAAACTCTATTCCCACTCAGGCCAAACAACTGAAAAGAACTAGCTACTATCTATTTAAATATTAAATAGTATTTTCAAGAAAATATTTTGTTTGTAACTTGTATTTTTCCATTTTATAATTTTAAATGCTGTGAGACTTAGTCTTTGTAAATTGTCCAGGCTGCCCTGGAGTTTGACAGTCCTCCTGCCTCA